TTCCTTTCAGAATAAAAGCTGAACCATCAAGACCCAGGTTTGGGTCTCACTTGATGTCAACAAAACCGTCGTGACCCGGAAGTATCTCAGAGACTGGTCTTGTCGGCAACCGCTGCTTTTCCTACCAGCTTCGGTTCCAGAGAAGGTCAAGCTGGACCTCGACAGCATGTCACACCCTGTCCTGTCTCCCCGTTTTGGTTCAGCCTTGTGTCTCGTTAATTGCTCCCACCTGCCTCTCATTTCCCAATCACCTTAGCTCCTTGCCCTCGTGTATTTAAGCCCCTTCTGTTCTGTGTCTTGTGTCAGTCCATTGTTTCAGTGTCCAGCATGTTATTCATTAAAGTTCATCATAAAACGTCCTACCTGTCTGCCTGTCTTCCTCCCCGCGTGTGGATCCTCGCCTCATCTCCGCTCACCTCGCCCACATGCCGTGACAGAATGAACCGACCCGAACCCATTGAAGGATCCAGCGGGGAGAATCTACCCCGGTAGTGCCTGCTCCGATTCCTCTCCTCCGATCACCGGCCGGCCCCTTTTCCTCCAGCCTCGCCTCACCAAAGACACCGTCGCCGACCTTCGGCCGCGGAGTTCCTCCACGCTCTCCCAGAGCCAGAGGCGAGTTTGGACCGGGAGTGGCTTCCAGATCGCTCCAGTTTCGTTGGCACGAGCCTGGCTGTCTGTTCCCCCGCAGTTGGTCCACGGCATGGGGAGAAAAGCCGAGCTCCACCACCACCCTGTGTCACGGGACGGAGCTGCGGACTCGCCACTGCCCCTGCCCGACGCAGCAGCTTGGACCCTCCCCCAGCCAGATCAGCAGTCCCGTCACCGGCCCGATCGGCGCCCCCGTCATCTGCAGGCGGAGGAGCAATGCCTGCAGCCCAGCTGACTGAGCTTGTCAGTCTCCAGGCGGAACTTGGCCGGATCCGCCAGCTTGTCAGCCTCCAGGAGTCCCTCCTGGACACTTTATCAGCCTCAAACCGCCAGAAAAGGGCCTCGGTCCAGCTGGCAGCTCCCTTATCTCAGAGCCAGTGGAGCGAGCTCGAGGTCCACCCAGCGGAGCTCGCCGGTCTCCGGGCTGAGCTGGCCCAGCTCCACTGGACCCTCAGCCTCCAGGAGCTTCAGCTGGACGGTCTGTCCTCCCTGTTATCCTGGTTTTCAGGACCACCAGGTCATATCGAGCCTGTCCAGGCAGCCCCTCCCGCTGCGGCTCCGTCTTCACTCCAGAAGCAGAAGGTTCGGGCCCAGAAGCAGATGGTTCCGGTTCCGGCCCAGAAGCCGACGCCCCCGGATCAGAAACAGGTGGTTCTGGTACCGGCCCAGAAGCAGACGGTTTCGGTACCGGCCAAGAAGCAGACGGTTTTGGTTCCGGTCCAGAGGCCGGCGGTCCAGAGGTCGACTGTCCAGAAGTCGAAGGGCCAGAAGTCGATGCCCCCGGACCAGAAGCAGACGGTTCCGGTTCCGGTCCAGAGGCCAGCGGTCCAGAGGTCGACGGTCCAGAAGTCGAAGGACCAGAAGTCGACGCTCCCGGACCAGACGCCGACGCCCCCAAGCCAGAAGCCGACGCCCCCGGACCAGAAGTCAACGCCTCCAGACCAGAAGACGATGGTGGTCGATGCCTCTTCCAGTTCTGACGTTGACGCCCCTTCCAGTCTTATGGTCGACGCCTCTTAGTGTTCTGAATTCGACGCCTCTTCGTGTTCTGAAGTCGATGCCTCCTCGTGTTCTGAAGTTGACTCCTCCCCGTGTTCTGAAGTCGACGCCTCCTCGTGTTCTGAAGTCGACACCTCCTCGTGTTCTGAAGTCGACGCCTCCTCGTGTTCTGAAGTCGACACCTCATCCAGTCCAAGGGTCGACGCCTCTTCCAGTCCAAGGGTCGTCGCCTCTTCTAGTCCAACGGTCGATTCCTCTTCCATTCCAAGGGTCAACGCCTCTTCCAGTCCAAGGGTCGACGCCTCTTCCTGTCCAAGGGTCGACCCCTCTTCCTGTCCAAGGATCGATGCCTCTTCCTGTCCAAGGGTCAACGCCTCTTCCAGTCCAAGGGTCGACGCCTCCTCTGAAGTCGACGCCTACTCTGAAGTCGACGCCTCTGCTGAAGTCGACGCCTCCTCTGAAGTTGACGCTCCTCTGAAGTCGACGCCTCCTCTAAAGTCGATGCCTCCTCTGGAGTTGACACCTCATCCGAAGTCGACGCCTCATCCGAAGTCGACGCCTCCTCTGAAGTCGACGCCTCATCCGAAGTCGACGCCTCATCCGAAGTCAACGCCTCATCCAAAGTCGACGCCTCTTCTGAAGTTGACGCCTCATCCGAAGTCGATGCCTCATCCGAAATCGACGCCTCATCTGAAGTCGACGCCTCATCCGAAGTCGGCGCCTCATCTGAAGTTGGCACCTCATCCAGTCTAGAGGTCGACGCTCTTTCCACTCCAGAGGTCGATGCTCTCTTGTGTCCAGAGGCCGACGTCCCCTCTGGTCCGCAGTCTCAGCTGTCTCCAGTCCCGTGGTTGACGCCATCTCCTGTTCCAGTGGTGGTTCCGGAGGTCGCACCGTATCCGGTCCAGCCCTTCCACGAGGCTCCGATCCAGCCCGTCCAAGAGACTTTGTCACCGGTCCAGCCTGCAGAGACTTTGTCCCCGGCCCAGCCTGCAGAGACTTTGTCCCCGGCCCAGCCTGCAGAGACTTTGTCCCCGGCCCAGCCTGCAGAGACTTTGTCCCCGGCCCAGCCTGCAGAGACTTTGTCACCGGCCCAGCCTGCAGAGACTTCGTCCCCGGCCCAGCCTGCAGAGACTTTGTCCCCGGTCCAGCCTGCAGAGCTCCTCTACCGTAAACGCAGGCTCTCAAGAGCCCGTCGTCGCCGCCTCCTCTGCCACAGACGCAGGCCCCCAAGAGCTCATCGTCACCGCCTTCTCTGCCACAGAGGCAGGCCCCCAAGAACCCGTCGCCTCCTGCTCTGCCACAGACCCAGGCCTCCAAGGGCCCATCACGTCCTCCTCTGCCGCAGACGCAGGCCTCCAAGGGCCCGTCGCCTCCTCCTCTGCCGCAGATGCAGGCCTCCAAGGGCCCGTCGCCTCCTCCTATGCCCCAGGCGCAGGCCTCCAAGAGCCCGTTGTCTCCTCCTCCTCTGCCCCAGGCGCAGGCCCACGGACTCTGCTGGTCCCTGCCTCCTCTCCATTGGTCCCTCGGTTCCTCTTGGCCCTCCCTCCGGGTCCCCCTCCTCCCGCCCTGCTCCTTGTTCCTGTGGGCATCTGGGATCCGCCCTTCGGGGGGGGGGGGGGGGGGGGGGGGGGGGGGGTACTGTCACACCCTGTCCTGTCTCCAAGTTTTGGTTCAGCCTTGTGTCTCGTTAATTGCTCCCACCTGCCTCTCGTTTCTCAATCACCTTAGCTCCCTGCCCTCGTGTATTTAAGCCCCTTCTGTTCTGTGTCTTGTGTCGGTCCATTGTTTCAGTGTCCTGCGTGTTCTTCATTAAAGTTCATCATAAAACATCCTACCTGTCTGCCTGTCTTCCTCCCCGCGTGTGGATCCTCGCCTCAACTCCGCTCACCTCGCCCACATGCCGTGACACATCACCTTCAATTCCCATCAGAACTAATCGTTTCTTCGGATTTGCTGGTTCTGAGCAACATTCCACATTACAGCATTCTCCGTCTCATTCACCGTAGTTACACCATACATTTAGTGTTAAAGTTTGTCTAGTTTTTATTTGTTTAGTAATATATTTTTAAACTTTTAAACTCGACTCTCTCTCTTCTGTTGTCTCTGAGTGAATACAAAGCTGTTATCTAATCCCTGCAATAAAAAGTTCCAATCTCCTAGTTTAAAATAACCTCACAGATCCATAAGGTTGATTTCATATTTGCTATATAAGCTTTTTTCTTATGGCTCATTAAGTAACATGTAATTTAAATTATTACACACTGGAGCGACTGGTCACTCTGGCAGCGCCATTGTAGTTAACAACACCTAAAGACGTTACAGATACAAAGAGGGGTTAAATCGGGGGTCGGCAACCCGCGGCTCTGGAGCCGCATGCGGCTCTTCCATCCATTTGATGCGACTCTCTGTGCTTGTAAAATAATGAATAGATATTTAAATAAAATGCTTTATATTTTACTGCATTAATTTGACATCAGTATGCCAATTCTAAATGTAAAGATTGTCTGCGTAAACCTGAACAGTTCCAACCCGGTCTTACTGTGAGACCGGGTTGACGGGTCACGCTTGTGCGTAATCATAGGCGCTTTCTGAGCTGAAGACGATGTGAGATTCTGGGCTTCTCCTCAGACAGGCTCATGGATGCGTCGCCACATTGGAGACAGGAACAAGCACTATTCAGCCAAAGTTTCATAATCCGGGAACATTTTCTAAGTGACAAGTCTCGCTTCAGTGGGAGGAACCTTCGCGCATGCGCTCTGGTTCTGCGACGTGCTCCAAGCCCCTCTCCACATCTTCAGCTCACTGTGCACCGTACGTACGCGCTGACAGTGAGCTGCGCTGAGCAGTGTCCGGCTCAGATGTTCAGATGGGAATCTTTTCTTGAGTGATTTAGCTACATCTGCGATGTGCATAACGAGTGAAATGTCAGTTCGTCTGCATGCATCGGGGTAATTATTTCTATTCTTTCTCTGTCAAAATAAACGGTCAAATATGGGAACTGTCCGGTCAACACAAGCCCACACATTATTCGCCCCGTAATCGGAAGGTTGCTGGTTCGAGTCCCGCTCAGTCTGTCGCTGTCGTTGTGTCCTTGGGCAAGACACTTAACCCACGTTGCCTGCTGGTGGTGGTCGGAGGGACTGGTGGCGCCAGTGCTCGGCAGCCTCGCCTCTGTCAGTGCGCCCCAGGGCAGCTGTGGCTACATTGTAGCTCATCCCCACCAGTGTGTGAATGTGTGTGTGAATGGGTGAATGACTGATTGTGTTGTAAAGCGCCTTGGGGGGTTCTAGGACTCTAGAAGGCGCTATATCAAATACAGGCCATTTACCATTTACTAAACTGTTCTGTTTTCTTATAAAAATTGTTGCAAAGAGATATAATTTAACTTGATTAACACCAGAGCCAGGCGCACTGCGCCGTTATCTCCGTCACTGTAAATGAGGGAAAAACAAATTGATCGGATGCTTTTCTGACCTTCCCCACCTACAAAGTTTAATTACAACAATCAAACGTGACAGAGCCTGGATTTGTAATCTGAACAGTCTAAACATGTTTTAAAAAGAAACGTATGACAAAAGTGGCACCTGCTCAGTAAAACCACCAACAGGGTGAAAAATATCTAAATATTGTCGGCAGAGACGGACTACAACTTCTGGATCCACTTTATATAAATCGTTTTATTGATTATCGTCTTATGAAAGATAACTGACGTACACGAGCGACCGGTACTGGCTGCTGTCACCTGTTGTGATTGGTTAAAGCAGCTCTCTGCTGTCTGGGGGTAGGCCCCGCCCACAACGCTGCGGCTGCTGTGGCTCCCAGTGTTTTCTTTACTGTGGGAAACAGGTAATAATGGCTCTTTGATGGGAACAGGTTGCCGACCCCTGGGTTAACTCTTTGTGTGAATGTTTTACACATTTATGTGAAGTGGATGTTAAAACCTTATTGTTATTCTTATGATGTATGAGTATACTGGTAGATTAACTTGTTAAATCAACAAATACTGATATGGTGTAGTTTAAGATCTGTAATTAATCATTGCAGGAAAAATATTCATTTTAACACATCATTGATTAATGCAAACATTATTCCCTTTGGGATTTAACAAGAGACGATTATATGACACTTGTGCAATTATCAAGTTTTAAAAAGTCATTTATGATTCATGGAAGATGAACTTTAATTAGAGTGGGAGTGAAGGAGTTTCTTCTTCTGCCTTAGACCTTGAGCAAAGATATTATGACTTCCTTGACTGGTTGCACGTCTCATATCCCTGTTTTTCTTTCTTGGAGGCCAGACAGATGTGATGCGTCCCTGGATGTGTGACGCAGTTTGTGGCTTCAAATTAAAAGTTAATTTCTGGTCATTTTGATAAAAACCTTCAACATTGGTACACTACAGATACATAATCAATAAACATTACCAAATGGGTTATGGGCATTTGTAAATGTTTACCTTGTCATTTGTTGTAGATATTTGTTAATGTCAACTCAAGCCTTCATAATGATTTGTTTTATATTACCTAATACCTTGTAAATGATCTGTTAATAACTTACTAAACACTTATAAATGTATTTGTAAACGTCATCAGATCCCTTCATAAATATTTTGTTCGTCATTATCCAAGACCTTGAAAATGATCTGTTAATGACTTACTAAACACTTATAAATGTTTAACAACAAAACATTATTATAAAGCATTACCGAAGATGAATCTGCCAGTTCCTTTCTGTTAGAGTATTATATTTTTATCAGAGTGACTTCATTTAGTTGAATGTTTCTGTGATAACCTAGCTTCTTCATCTTTGGCTCCATTCTCACATAGAGACAAAAACACTAAAAGATTTCTATTAATAGAGACTCACATCACAGAAACATAAACACATATGGAGAGGCCACACACATGATCCAAATTCCTGATCTGGTTTAACATCAAATGGAATCTGAGTGTGTTCATTCAGGCATGGTTGAGGGATTTTAGAGGTAAATAAAAACAAAAAACCTCCACTTAGATGTGCACATCAAAACAAATTATTGTGTTATTAAAGGAAGATGAGGTAACCGAGGGTTAACTTACAGCTGGCTTAGGACTTAGTGCTTAAAATAGAAATGGCGTCATGTGTTTGGTTTGGTCATAAATTAGGAATTATGTATTTCTTGGGGCTTCTTTAGTCATATATCATATTGTTGGTATTCTATTTGTGTGATTTATGACTAAATACTGAAACTAGCTAAATAAAACAGAAAACTGATGTTTCATCATCACCAATCAGCATTCTTAGCAGAGGAACTCCTCTGACTCCCCTATCTTTGCATAACAGTGCCTAAACTGAGCTGGGCATTGGGGTGGGGGCTAGATCTGAGCACATGAGGACTGTAATGTGATCTTTTCTGTGTGACAGCAACCATTTTTCCTTCAGTGGTTTGACAGAGGTATATAAGAGACAGTCGGGGACAACGACGGCCACAGGGACAAGCAAGAGTACGCTCCGTGTCCCTGCCGGAGAGCAGTGGACTTAAATCTGCCTCCAGGTTTCCTCAAAGACAGAGAAGGAATGGGACTGCTCAGTGTCGAAGAGCTGGTAAGATCTGCTGATATGAACTTAAACCAGTGATGATGATGATGTAGACAAGTGAGATCAGGGAGCAAAAAAGACTCATCCTTTTAAATAAAACTCATTTTTGACTTTCCAGTGATTGATTTCTGAGTGTGAACGGTATTGATTATGGTCACACGTTGGTTCCTACTTTTTGGCAGCTTTGAGAGAAAACAGCAAATACAATACTAGAACTAAACTAGGAGCAGGTTTGGCTAATAAGTTTTACTTTTTTTCATTTAATGAGACTTTGTCTATGAATTGAAGATTATTTTGACATGGAGATTAATTTACTTATAGCAATAGTACAAGTGTGTATTTTGTTGAGTCACTCGGGGTAGGATTTAATAAGCATTCTCTTCTTCCTACTCCATTTCGAACAGAATATGAGAGATTGTTTTTTTATTATATTTCGCAGACTTGAGAGCTATATCTGTTTTCTTTGTTATTTTCTGGTATGTTTTGTCTGTAAAAAAATCTTTTATTTCTATTTTATTTTTAATGTTCAAATAAAAATCTAATCAATTGGTATTAAGTCTTCAGAGGCCTATCGAGGCCTACAGAAATCCTTCCTACATGATGAAGTTTATGAAATGTGAAACGCTTTTGGTTCAGTCAGCATGAACATGCTAGAGGGGAGTTTAAATCTGAAGCACAAAACCAAACAATTAATCCCAACAACAAACAACCTGAAGCAGGAGATCACCTGTATTTCTTGATCAATACCACAGATTTCTCTGTTGCAGGTGACCAGTAAGAGGTCAGAGGGCAAAGAGTATGGTGACTTCCAAGGGGGTGTGTATGAAGCAGCTGTCAATCAGGAGAAGCAGGATGACCTCAGGTCGCTCCAAGAGCTGGACGTTGGACGAGGAACACCAGAGGACATCCACAGCAGCAGAGAGCAGGAGGAAGTTGGGGTGGTGGTTCTGAATGTAAGTCAATCAACAGACCATTAGAGCTGCAGAGACATGCAGGGCCATGTCCAGACACGTGGAGACATTTAGAGACACAGAGACACGTGTAAGGGAATGAAGATCTCCGTTTCTATTTATGGAAAACTATCAACATTAAAATCTACAGCTGAAAAAAATCTAAATGTTTGTTTTCCTGGTAGCTTTTATTTGTTTGCATTTTGTTCAACAGTAAAACTGAAAAATCCCAGCTCTCTAATTAGCTAAGACTATCTCTACATTTCTGTGCGTGGCGAGCCCCATCAAAGCATCTACAGGAACTTCCTGATTTATTTGAAACCCCGGCACTTTAACTGCATTTAAAGGTGAAAGGTCACCTCTTCCTTTTGTTTTTTTCTTCATACTTTCAGACGGATGAAAACGGGAGGTTGAAGTTGGAGACGGTGGACGATCTGTTCAACATCCTGCAGCTGAAGAAGAGGAGGAGGGAGAGGAAGGTTCCACTCCAGATGATCAAAGAACCAGAGCTGGTGGTAAGGAGTGCTTCAGAACTTCAGTCCAGCCTTTGCAGAACCGTCGTGTGGGTTAAGAAGGCAGTTAGACTGATTCTGTTCAACCGGAAGTCACAAGCTAATGTTTGTTGTATGTTGTTTAAGTGGCACCTGTACAATTGAAAGAAAACGAGATGATTTTGGCTCTACTGGGGGCAATAAATGACTAAATAAATATTATTCTGCATGACAAAATGAAATATTAACATTACAGCATGAGAATAAGCAAGGCAGATTTATTTGTGTAGCACGTTTAACGCAGAAGCAATTCACTGTGCTTTCCAGGTGCAAGATCAAGCGGGTCTGTTATGTTTATTCTCTGTGTTCAGCCAGAGATCGTGGACAAGCAGCTGTTTCTGTCGGCTGTCATGGAGAATAAATTTTCTGTGGTGGAGAAGTTCCTGAGAGACGGAGGAGACCCAAATGTGGCTGACAATGTGAGAGTCAGGCAGCGCTCAAGCACAAATGCATGAAGACACTCTGAAAATGAAACACTGTTTATTTTGTGTCCTCCAGTTCCAGAGGACGGCTCTGCACAAAGCATCTTTCAAAGGACACGTGGAGGTAATGAGGAGACTCCTGGAGGCTGGAGCTAGCATCAAGCAGAAAGACCAGGTGAAAGGACCGATCAGGTGATTTTCTCCCTCCTCTCTTGTCTTTTCTCTGGGTCTCTGACCGGGAGTTGTGTGTGTTCCAGCTGGAGGCCACGGCCGTCCACTGGGCCTGCAGAGGAGGCAGTCTGCCCTCGTTGGAGCTCCTCCTCAACCAGGGAGCGGAGATCAGCTCCAGAGACAAGGTTGGTCCTGAATCTGAAAGTGCTTCTTGATGCCACCTTGTGGTAGTAAAATACAGAAAAACTCCAGCAGAGATCAAACTTCTGGTCTTTGCAGCTTTTCAGCACACCTCTGCACGTAGCTGTGAGGACGGGACACTGCAAATGTGCTGAACATCTCATCCACTGTGGAGCAGACGTCAACGCCAAGGACAGAGTGAGCACTCCACCAGTGTGCAACTGTTGCTCTGGAGCTTCTGGAGCTGCTCCTTGTACCTGAACAAATCTAAGCTGGGACACGTTCATATATAAAGTTTCAACAGGAAAATGTTGTTTGTCATCAAGTGCATAAAGTTACCACAGTAGAATGACACGAAAACTGCAATTTCAAGGAAATAGTCATTTTATTTGTTGTGAAAAGAGATGGAATGTGGTTTTTATTCATGTGTGTTTTTAATCAGCTTTAATTTGGTAATAAAACAGTAATGATGATAAAACTTTAATTTAAAAAAGTAAATAAACCAGACAAGTTTTTAAAAAGTAATACGAAGGAAAATATATTCAAAAACGATAAATAGATAAGTTACATTTGCTTTCTGAGAAGTAAATATAATAAACAGCACCGAGGTCAGACCTGATCCTGAATCAGTTCCAGACATATCAGACCTGTTGGTGGACCTGTTTGCTCTCTGACTGCAGGATGGAGACACACCAATGCACGACGCCGTCCGGATCAACAGATTCAAGATGATCAAGCTGCTAATGATGTATGGAGCCAGTCTCAGCACCAAAAACTGTGTAAGTACAGAACTGGACTAGGAACACCAGACCCTGCTAGGCTCCAGTTTCACTCAAACCTCCTGCTAATCACAACTGATCCAGAATGGTGGGGGTCTGACAGAGTTCCAGAACTCGGAGCTTCATCCTGCCACATGTTCATTTTGGTTTTCTAGGGATCCACTGATGGATAATTTAAAGCAAAACAGCAATAAAACCAGGAAGCTAATTTCAGTTTTATGAAAACTAATGGAGAAGTACTTGATTTATGCATTTATCTTCATAGATGAGGTCAGTTAACTCATTTGGAGTTTTAAATTCAAAGTGAAGGATATGGAACTACCGCAGGACTTGCATATTCTGAGACCTGACCTAACTCCTCAGTTTACGCTGTACTGGCATTATCCTGTTGCACATTATCAACAATGCAATATTCATTACGTGTTCAATACTCGTTCAATAACAGATTTACGTTGCAGGTCCGTGTCTCTTGCAGTATGCTTCATTGTTCTGGAACCCAAAATCTTCAGATTTTATTCGTGTTTTTAGTGGTCGAAGGTTACAATACTTGATTAATACCTAATACCATAACATACATGTATCTTAGCTTTTTTTCCTTCATATTACATATTCTCTTAAGTGCTGGTGCTGCTGGAACAAGTGAATTTCTTCACTGTGGGATCAATAAAGTCTATTCTCTTCAATTCCGTAACTGGACTTGACCCAGGACCGGAGTTGAATGACTTGAGACTCACTTTTGAATTGCAAAGCTGTGCTCTGCTCCACCTCTGTGATTTGATACAGCCGACGTGTGATTGGGAAAATGTTTTGCTCTCGTGTGCCTCTGAGTTAAGAGAAAACCTTTTGTCTACTTCCTTTCAAATGAGAGCGCTTTGGTGAAATGTCCTGAGGATGCTCGTGCCCTTCTGAAGAACTTTGATTTGTGGTCTTGTGTTGTTCCTGTAGGATGGAAAAACTCCACTGGAGACCCTGTATTCCTGGCAGAACGGAGCCAAAAGCCTCCTGAACAACTTGAATGAAGAGAAACCTGATCTGTCAAATTTCTAATTACCTGCCTTCATTCTTGTCTGCGATTTTGAACCAACAACCCGCCAGATTGATTGTTTTTATTAGCAGGCTGTTGTCTGGGATTAGTAACATCTGATCAATAATGTGAACTCCATTCAGGATGTTTTTGTGTAATGATGTGATTTTTGCTCAGATAAATATTGCTGGACAATATTTTAACTTTAGGCTGAGTTGAACTCAGGCGATTTGTTTATTAAACCAATGAGACGTGTGCTCGTCATCGGGTTTATTACGACTGATTGATTTATTTCAAAAACAAACACCTAAAGTCTGATAACTTTGCCCCGGGGTCGCTAGCCGTGCTCCGGAGCTGCGGGTTACCGAGCCCTGGTTTCATAAAGTTTTGTAATCAGGGAACATTTTCTAAGTGACAAGTCTCTCTGAGAGACGGGGTTTGGAAAACACTCGCTTCAGTGGGAGGAATCTTCCCGCATGTGCTCTGGTTCTGCTGCTGCCTGTGACAGAGGCTCTCCACATCTTCAGCTTGCTGTCCACATACGTGCGCGCTGACAGCGAGCTGCGCTGAGCAGTGTCCAGCTCAGATGTTCTGATGGGAATCTTTGCTTGATTTATTTAGCTACCTCCATGACGATTAAAATGTCAGTGCGTCTGCACACCTTGGCGTAATTCTTTCAAAACGACCAACATCCTTGAGGTTTCTCCGTCAAAACAAATGGCCAAATACAGGAAATATCCGGTCAATGTGAACCCTGACATTTAACTGTTTTGCCTTCTTCTTCTTATGAAGATTGCTGCAAAGTGAAACAATTCAGTTTGATTAACACCAAAGCCATGCACACTGCACCGTTTTCTCATGAAAAAAAAAAAACCTGAATTGATCGGATCCTTTTTTACCTTTTCAACATTGTTTCATGTAAAGTTTTGTTCAGTACAAAGTTTAATTACAACAATCCAACGAGACAGAGCCTGGATTTGTGCTCTGAACAGTTTAAACATGCTTTAAAGGAAGACGTGTGTGACACATCAAAATGCAACAGCTGCTCAGGCCCGGTAGGCCCACCCACAACGCCGCGGCTGATGTGGCTCTCTGTGTTTTCTTTACTGTGGGAAACAAGTAATAAGCTCATTGATTGTTGCCATGGTAGCAACCCCTGTTCTGGATTATTGCGAGTTGTAATCAGTGTTGCAACAGTTGCGTTGAAATAGTGTAACGTGATGAATGTGGTTACATTCATTGAATGATCAATAAGACGTGATATTCCATTTAAATATGAATTATCAATCTGATTTGTCTTTGAATTTTGATTTAATATGAACTTAGGTTATTTAGACTACCAGGGAAACACATACTTCATATTAATTCAGACAGAGTCAAGAAAACAGTTTGTAAAACGGAATTTAATACTATATTTCTAAACTGATGATTATACATGACAAATTGTGATAAATTATTGAACAAGATAACTGAGGCAATGAAAAAAAATGATGGATGTAAGCTTAGATGTTATGTTGCAAAATCTTTGTTAAGTATCTGATAAATTTGTGATGTCTGGGTTATAAAATCTGTCTGACTGTCAGTTATTCATAAAACCATCCAATGCAGTTCCTCTCATTGTGGATATCAAAGCTAGCAAACCGATTGAATTTAACTACCGTAATTTCCGGACTATAGAGCGCACCTCAATATAAGCTGCACCGGGCTAAAAGCCGCAGATATCTATGTCATGTTGTGAGGGTAGAGATGATGGACCATGTGTGGTGGAGCTGACCAGGAGGCAGGAATGCAGGCACGGATAAAGTAAAAATGGGTTTAATGACAGGATACGGCAGGAACAATGAGAACAACACGACAAACAACAATGATCTGACAAAGACTGGCACAAGGAGGGAGGTATAAATACACAGGGAAATCAGGAACACATGAACAGGTTAACGAGGGACAGGTGAGAACAATAAGGTTAATCAAGGCAGGAGAGAGACACAGTCAGGAAGGCAGGGGCAAATCGTGACAATCTACTAAATTGAAAACGTAGTTTAACTAAACGTAACTGAACTGATCAGTATCAAACAAAACAGAAAAGTTATTGATTAGTTTATTCATCGTCCTCCTGCGTACTGAAACCACTGAAGTCCTCTTCTTCAGTGCCGGAGTTGAACAGCCTCAGAAGAGCTTCGTCACATACCTTTTCTGTGGCGATGTCAGTGTCGCTGTCCGTGTTGCTGTCATCATCCCCGGGTGAAGCTGGGAAAACAAGCAGCGCCGTTTTACTGTGAAAATAATCCTCCTGGACGTTTTCCGTAGTACTCCTTTAACCATTCCTTCATTAGACTGTCCAACATCCATCCTTTCTGGTTCAAAGCGTGGGAAAAAGTAACGGCTTATAGTCCGGAAAATACGGTACTCACTAACTAAACCCACCATTCTTTGAGAAAAACTGACACCTTCTCTCCTCCCTGTCCTCTTTCTCCTGCCGTTCTCCCCTTTTCTGGGACCCAGACTTTGGTTTTCCAGACATAATTGCTGCAGTCTTTCTGCTGTCTGACTGCTGCGTGAACTTGCGCATCTGGCCTGCAACACAACTCAGGCCCACTCCCAATACACTTGCACCCTTGCACCTTTCATCTGCGTGTTCCCGGCATGGGTGCGAGTGCGTAGGGTGCCCTGGCTTTCAAGTGTGGAAGTTGACCACGCCCCATTGCACCCTTAATCTGCACTTCACCCAAGTCTGCAGCAATGCAGAATTCAGGCAAGGAAATTACCCACAAGTCATTGCTGCAGGAGAAAAGGCTCAAGTTCCTTTTCTGAAAATATGCATTTTCTAATGAAATTATTTAATTTTAGGATGATTAGTTGATGCTCTAAAACTTTTAGACAAAGCAGCAATAAATGTAAACTTATTTAAAATAACTGTTTGGTTGTTTGTTTAAAAGGTTTTAATAAAGGTTTTTGAACAAAGTATCACAGCGACCAGCATCCCAGCATGCTTTGGGATTGATAACGCAACGCTCAATGTCTCAAATCTGCAATTACTTGCACACTTGTGTACTACGCACTCGAACCCTACTGCGCACTTTCTCCGAGTGCTCTTTGGCCTCACTGCGCCACTCGGACAGAAGGAGGACTGTGCCATTTAATGCATATGGGGGTGGGGTGGGAGGTGTGTGTGTGTGTGTGGGGGGGGGGGGGGGGGGGAGGG